GAGGGTCTGCAGGCCAGCAGGGCTGTGGGGGGGGGGGCTGGGCCAGGCTGGCCCCAGACAGTGACCTGAAGTTGAGTGGAAGCAGGCTTTTTCCATCAAACCCTGCCTGGATACCACACACGGAGACCGAGTGTCAGTTTACTGCCCTGAGCCGGGCTCCTTTTCCCTAAGCTCCACAGTAATTAGACAAAGAAAACCTAAATTAGCTGAGCAGGCGTCGACAGCTTCCCCCAGAGCACCCCTGGTACCTACATGGGAATGTGTCCGAAAATGGCCTGATTGTAGCCCAGAGTCAGCTAAGAAAACATCACCAAGCAGAACTCAGTTTACCACTCATTTCCAAGAGAAAAAAGAAACAAGTCAGTCTTTTCCGGAAGGGATGTTTTGATTGGGTTGGGGTAGGGGGTTTGAAGTCCTTTCCACCTTCTAAGAATTTTTTTCTCATCAGTGAACATTTTAGGGGGACAGATCCTGATTTATTTCATTCTGATTTTGCCATTTTACGTGAAATAATTTAAAACTAATTAACTAAATATGGAAGTAAATATGTGCTCGCTAAGTTAATGCTGAGGGTCTGAAAATAATTACCTAAATAAAATAGAGTGGAGAAGACAGTCATACCCAGAAGGGTACAGGTCTGTCTGTGTGGACATAGGAAGGACATCGAGCCAGGGGGGCAAATGAGGAGAAGGAGCAGTCCTTCTCACGTAGAGGTGGGGGTGGCACGGAATGATTTTGGGGATCATCAAGCAAGTCAGTCTCCATGTCACCTCTGAGATTTTCTGTGCCTCGGAACTGTAACATTTCCCTTCCCAGGGGGGAAGGAGGCCTCAAACAAATGTGGGACCCAGACTCAAAAATAAAAGGCACTGAACTGAAAATTAAGGCAGGGCCAGAAATAGCCAGTGGATCTCATTGAAGGGTCACAAGTCTCTTTGGGAATAGATGGGAGCTGTGGAGCTCATATCTACAAAAATTGCCTCCAATTTGTCTGTTATTTTAGGGGAGTAGTTACTGATACCCTTTGAAAGAGCCCCCCCCCTGTATTTTTGGCTCCTCCCAATTCATCTGGTTAAATCCATGAGGGATTTTTCAGGCTCCCTTCTCCATCCAGGTAACAATGATACTCATCTCACCTAAACGTTCTAAATTTACAAGAAATCCACTTACAACTTGGTAAATGTTAGGGGCCCCGCCAGGTCCTGGAAGGGCCATGGACTGGGGACAGCAGTGGAGCCAGGGGAGTCCTCTCACTTGAAGTCTGCTTGCCAGGGGTTCAGAAACTGCCTCTGAAGCCCCTGGCCTCCAGAAAGACCAGCTCAGTGACCCGAAGGTACGGAGCAGGAAGAGCTCTTCTCCAAAAACTTCCTTGGAGATCTCGCAGATCTCTCCTCAGAGCCTGTACCCGCAGAGCCCCCTGAAATGACTGTCCCCAAGCCACGAAGGCCAGTGTTGCAGATGGCCCAAGGTCAGACAGGGAATCCATCTCTTTTCAGTGTCTTGCAGCAGAACCTCCCGACCTTGCTGTCATCACTGATGGGTTCAGACTCATTGGGTAAGAATGTACTTACAAACTATGTTGTGTCCTTTCTCTAGCAGAATATCAGCATCTGGCTTTTATTTACCATTTTCTTATTCATTATTTTGGGGGTGCTGCACGTTAAGCAGGTGTTCTGCCTGTGATCTGCACTGGGTCCAGAGGACAGTTTGGAAGCAAACTTGTGCCTGCCTCTGAAGCACCGCTTTCTTTCAGTGGGTTTTCCGCTCCCTTCTTACAGTTGGGAGCTCTTCTCCACGGACTTCCATTCCCTATAAACACAGATTCTGATTTTCTTTCACATGGGAAGGAAAGGTGAGTCCGTTTAAATGAAACTGAACCAGCCCAGGTGCTTCTAGGTGAATCGGAACACACAGCCCTAGATATCCTTTCTCTACCTCTGCTGGGTTAACCCTAGGCCTGCGGTCTCTGCTGTTCCAAACCCCTGGGTCCCACCCTTCCCCTGTGCAAAGAAATGTAAACTTCGGGGAAGCTTGGGTTTCTCCGACTTTGTTCTGTAATCGGTGTCTTATTCTAGGAAATCTTTTCATTATTGTGGCTTAAGTTTTATGTTTTTAGCATCCTTTCTCTTCTTTGTGGGTTTTACACGAAATGGCTTAGACTAAACCAGCTAGCAGCAGGAGAGACGCATTTGTCCCGACAGAGTTTATGGCTGTCCGGGAGGACAGAATGGGGTGGCTGGCACTCCCTCACCCTCCTTTCCTTCCTCCCAGCCGGGTGGGGAAAGCTTTTCCCCAGTTCAGCTGGAAACTGGCTGACCATTATTTTGAC